CTTTCTTATTCTCATTTAAAATGTCTCGCTTTTAACAAATAATTATCTGAATCTTACAACAAACGTTTTCATCTGATGTAAAATGTATAGAAATCCACTATTGTATATAGTGTTTTTTTTTTCAGGGTCCCAACATAATTTCTTCAGAAATAAGTACTGTATATGATGCCAGTATTTTCCCACATTTTCCAGATTCTGTACCAGTACTGTGTGTAAAATTCCATCAAAAAAGTCAATTAAGTTTTATTCTTTCTCACCTGTCTTTCTGTCTCCTTTCACTTTTTAAAGGTTGCCATGTTAGAAAAAAATATTTTGCCCTGTCATGCTGTTTATTGATGTGGTAAATGAATAGTTTATGAAAATATCACTAAATCTGTCATTTATTATTTTTAATATTCAGTAATGATCATGTCTCACCTTTAGTCTTCTCTGTCTTAATTTCAGGTTTCCACCATGTGTTGTAGATAGTTCAGGAGGTTAACTCAACCAAGCAGTCTTTGGGTTTCGGCTAAGTCCTGTTTAGAATGCCAGCATAGGGAGGATGGTGTAGGTTTAAGTTTATTAGATTGTTATATATATACCAACAAGACAGTGTACATCACTGTCACAACAGCGTTTGTTTTCATTCAAAGGCTTTATGGTTTTTCCTATAATGGTGGGCCGGTCTCTAGTCAAAATGCCCGGGCCGATTTTTATCCCAGTCCAGCCCTGTATGCGGCTCATCTGCAGTCATCTACATCTTCCTACTTGGAAGGCAGAATTTCCGACTTCCGAGTACAATCGAAAGCACCACGACTGCAGTTTCTGTGTTGGACGTAAAAAGCGCACATGATGCTGTGACGTAGGCTAGAATCATGGCGGCAGTCGACGGCGGTCCAGGCGTGGGATTTCTCTCGTGGAAATATGCACATTATTTTTTCCTTTCTGTTGGTAAGTGACACAGTGCACTGTGGCAGGATAGTGCTAACATGTAAGCAAGCTAGAAGACTGGCATCCTTGCTGGTATCCAGTTAGGAAATCAACACATTAATGAGCAAATTCTGAGTAAAACCAACGTTACTTTCCCTAGTAACTAGTTACTTTGAAAGTAACGAGTAACTTGAAGTAACTGAGTTACTTTTCATAGAAGTAACTAGTAATGTAACTAATTTACTAATTTAAAGTAACTTACCCAACACTGTCTAGAACTGAAGAAGTTTCTCAGATGAGACGTGAAATGTCTTCAAGAAACTTAAAGAAGTCCAGTTGCTTTTCTTTCCAAGCTCCTTGAACTTCTAAAGACTTCAACTTTATTTATTTACCCCAGCCAGCCTGTTGAAAGCCCCCATTTTCTTTCCTAATGTCCTGTGGGTTTAGAAATATTTCCTGTGTGCAACATTTAGAATTTGGCACATTTATATTTGTGCCTAATAACAAACGCAGACTCTGCCTTGCAGCTAATGTGCAGTACAGCTGATTCTTTTGAGGGTTTTTATTTATTTATTTGTTTAATGTTTTGTATTGGAGTCCCCTTCAGTCACAATCTTGCTGTGAAACATTAATGCATAGATGAAAATGCATTTTAAAATAAAATGCATAATGCAAGACATTGTGTTGCCTTTGTTAAATACATGGTATTCTGCCATCTTCAGTGTGTTTTAAGGTATATATTATATGTATATACAGTATATGCAGTATGAGAGGTCACAGAGGTTTAGTACCATGCGTCACATAAAAAGTATCAAATATGTTATGATCCATGTTTATCATGTGCAGTGTTGGCTGTAATGCGTTACTAAGTAAAGTTACTGTAATTAAATTACTTTTCCACTGAAAAAGTAGATTAACTAATTAGAGTAACTATTTTTAGGTATATTAATTACAGTTACTTACAATGTACTTGCGTTACATTGTAAAATAATTAAACTCGCTGAATATCATTATTTAATTTCAATCATTTGTCTTCTAAACGTAGAAGTAAACTCTGCTGCTTTAACATCGCTGTAGTGCAGCTGCGCGTCATTTCGCGCCAGTTTGCTGCATAGTCGTATTCTAAAGCGGAAGCTGTCGGACTCGGCTGAAGCGAGTGGCTGTTTTATGAAATGGACATATTCCCGTCTCTTCACTTTTCTGAAACAAGCAGACAAGAATATTACAGTAATATGTAAAAACTATTGGCTGCTGTTAATAGCATGAGTAATCTACTGAAGCGCCTGACACCAGAGCATAGACGAACACTTCTGAGTGATCCTTGTTCATCATCTATGGATAACACCGCGGCAACTCCTGCTAAGCAGGCAAAACCTGATTTTACTTCAGCAGCACAGAAAGCGTCTGAAGGTGAGCTTAAAAAAACGATTGCAGGCTACGTTGTAGAAGAGATGCTACCGCTGCGTACTGTAGAGTCTCTGTCTTTAAAAAAAAATGTATTTATTATTTAAAGAGTTTAATTTCTATTGTTTGCCCACTCAAGGCTAATAGGGATTTTAAGAAGTATTTAGTTAAATTACATATTTAGTATTTAAGTTACTTTTCTGACACAGTAATTAGATAAGTATTTTAAATACAATATTGACTAAGTAATTAGTAATTAATTACTTTTTTAAAGTAACTTACCCAACACTGATCATGTGTGATGTTAGTTTACATTTGTGGCTCTTCTCATGTGTGACTGTGTGCGGATCTCTCACCTCTCTCTAAGG